CTTAATTTGAAGTCCCAATTATGCTTCATTTAAATGCTTTATGTTTAGTTTTCAGGTCTATCGTTAGTCCCAATAAAGTTTTAGTTTTTGTCTATAGTCTCTACTTAGTCCTAATTAACCTGCATTGGAACTAACTAACTAACTAAGCTTTATATGTTAGAATTACATACGATATCAATTAAGCTTCATTCTAATATCTATATTTAATCTCAATTAAGCTTTTCCTAAAGCTCTCTTTATAGATTCAATTAAGCTTTATTTACAGATCTATAATCAGTTCCAATTAAGCTTCGTTTAAAGCTTTCTTTATAGTCAGAATTAAGCTTCATTTGAAGACCTATATATACGACGCTAATTTTAAAGCTCTCTTTGTAGTATCAACTAAGCTTCATTTTAAGATTTATATTTAGCTCCTTTTAAGCAACGTTTAAAGCTCTCTACTTACTCCTAAATAAGTTTCATTTGTGTAATTAAGCTCTTGTGATCCAACTAAGCTAAGGTCTATATTCAGCCTCAAATTAACTTCTTTTAAAGTTCTTTCTATAGTCCCAATTAAGCTTTATTTCAATATTAATTTAAGCTTCTTTTAAAGTTCTCTATAGTTCCAATTGAGCTTCATTTGTAATATTATCTGTGATCCCAATTAAGCTTCATTTGAAGCTTCATTTTCAGTCGCAAGTAAACTTCGGTAGAAGTTCTCTCTAGTGTCCCTATTAAGCTTTATTTCAATATTTTCATTTAGACTCAATTAAGCTTCATTTGAAGTTCTCTTTGTAGTAATAATTAAGCTTTATTTTAAGATATATATTCAGTCTCATTTAAGCTTTATTTAAATTTTCTTCTTAGTCCTAATGAAGCTTCTCTCTGTAGTTCCATTTATGTTTGTTTAAGCTTTCTCTGTAATCACAATTGAGCTTTATTTTAAAGTTCGAATTAGAACTTTAGCTTATCTAAAGTTCTAATTGTGTTATAGTTAATTAAATTAAATTTTTTGCTATGTGTAAAGCTCCAATTAAGTTGTATTAGAAGATCTATATAAACTTCGTTTAAAGCTTCATTTGTTGGTCCTAGTTAAGCTTAATTTAAATTTCAGTTTAAACTCCCAATTAAGTTTCATATAGAGTTTAGTTCATAATGCCACTTAAGCTCTTCTTGGAAGCTTTAATTAAACTTTATTTAAAGACCTGTCATTAGCTCCAATTAAGCTTCGCATATTCAATCCCTATCACGATTTAATTTAAAGATTTGTTTAAAGTCCGAAAAAGGCTTAATTTTAATTTATGTTTAAAGTCCCAATTAAGCTTTATTTAAAGTTCCCAAAACTTTAATTTGTAGATCTCTACATTTTGTAAATCAGTTTTAGGTAATCATCAACCTCTTTCTAGTTTTTCTTTTATTATTAAAATTTATTCCTTTCCAGATTTATAGTTTCCTCTTAAGTAATTCTCTCTTAATCCCTCACGGCCTTAAATTTTTGCCTACATCCAATAAAATTTATTGTGTTTTTTTGTTTCTTAATTTCAAACCTTTTACATTCTCCTTTTTCTCCTCAAAGTTGCTCAATTTGGATTTTGTTCTATACTCTTTGTTGTTGTTGTTCTTGTATAGGTAATAAAACCAAAGGAGCTGGTCGTAACCCAAGAAGTAGTAGTAATACCTAATATTTGTAATAAAATTACGTTACACATTTTCTCTGCTATTGCTGCTCTTTTTTTTTCTAGCTTTTAAAGTCGTGGTTGTTGTTGGTATTAAGTACTAGTTGTTGTTCTAGTTTTTGCAGTTTTTTATAATTTTAACCATATTTTGCCTTCTCTACAGCAAATGCTAATAACGTTAAGAAGAGTATAATAAAGGTAGTTGTTGCTTTATGATAGAGTAATTGTTGTAGTAGTTGAGAAGTATTTACAGTTAAAAAAGTGAAAATGAGCATTTAATATGAATTCACGCTGAAAAGTTTCTGTTTGTTTTGACTTTGAAACAATGTATGTTAAATTGTTTTTTGTTTTGTTTTGATTTAATTTTCAATTATTATTATATTTTTCTTTGAAGAGTTTTTCTTTTACAATCAAGAGTAAATAGCGGAAAACTTATTAATATTTTATGAAAAGTAGAGATTTTCACAATGTGGTTTTTGCGTAGATTATTTGTAAAGAGAACTTTTTTATGAAGTTAACTTTACATGGAAAAAAAATATAAATATTACTAGTGAAGATAAAACTGGGATTAGAAATGGATATAATTTTAACAATTTTGTTTAAAAAATCTTTAACTAAAATCTCTTTAATCATTATTTTTTAACATTTTTTTCAGCCTCAAGTCAAACTTTAATGAGGCCAAAATTGGATTTAAATTTTACGTACTTTAACAGAAATGTAAGTAAAGCTATATAAATTTCTTAAATTAAAACATATGAAGATTAAAAAACTTTATTTAGTTAAATTTAAGGCCTTATACTTAGTTTCAACTTAGTCTGTGAATTCCTATTATTCAAATTAACTAATTTCTCTAAAGAGTCCCTCTCGAAGCCCCTCTTAAAAAAATTGAGATCAAAATTTCCCATATATGCGTCACACAACTTCCACTTCCTTCCATCTCTATAACTTACTCACTCTCTTAAAAAATTTCAACATATACAAGAACACATACTAACACTTTTCTACGTAATCGGAGACCTACTTTGGTTTAAGTTGTATTTATTAAATACTATTTACTCAATTGTATAATTATTAGATTTTGCGTGTTCTAAAGGAAGTTTAGTTTGCTTTCGCAATGTGTAAAAGCGAAATAAAAAAGAAAACGGTTTTACTTTCATTCAAGAAAAACTAAAGAAACACTTACGAATAAATGTTTACGTAAAATGGAACTTTTTTTACATAAACAACAACGCACTATTGACATGCAAAAATGGACATTTAGAGATGCCAGATCATTTTTTCATTCCTTCTCCATCAAAAACAGCAAATTTAGTTTTACTTGGAACTAGAACTGAACTAGAACTGAACTAGAACTGAACTAGAACTGAACTAGAACTGAACTAGAACTGAACTAGAACTGAACTAGAACTGAACTAGAACTGAACTAGAACTGAACTAGAACTGAACTAGAACTGAACTAGAACTGAACTAGAACTGAACTAGAACTGAACTAGAACTGAACTAGAACTGAACTAGAACTGAACTAGAACTGAACTAGAACTGAACTAGAACTGAACTAGAAACTAGAACTGACTAGAACTGAACTAGAACTGAACTAGAACTGAAGAACTGAACTTAGAACTGAACTAGAACTGAACTAGAACTGAACTGACTGAACTAGAAACTGAACTAGAACTGAACTGAATGAACTCTGAACTAGAACTGACTAACTGAACTAGAACTGAACAGAACTGAACTAGAACTGAACTAGAACTGAACTAGAACTGACCTAGAAATGAACTAGAACTGAACTAGAACTGAACTAGAACTGAACTAGAACTGAACTAGAACTGAACTAGACTACTAGAACTGACTAGAACTGAACTAGAACTGAACTAGAACTGACTAGAACTGAACTAGAACTGAACTAGAACTGAACTCGAACAGAACTGAACTAGAACTGAACTAGAACTGAACTAGAACTGAACTAGAACTGAACTAGAACTGAACTAGAACTGAACTAGAACTGAACTAGAACTGAACTAGAACTGAACTAGAACTGAACTAGAACTGAACTAGAACTGAACTAGAACTAGAACTGAACTAGAACTGAAACTAGAACTGAACTAGAACTGAACTAGAACTAGAACTGAACTAGAACTGAACTAGAACTGAAATAGAACTGAACTAGAACTGAACTAGAACTGAACTAGAACTGAACTAGAACTGAACTAGAACTGAACTAGAACTGAACTAGAACTGACTAGACTGAACTAGAACTGAACTAGAACTGAACTAGAACTGAACTAGAACTGAACTAGAACTGAACTAGAACTGAACTAGAACTGAACTAGAACTGAACTAGAACTGAACTAGAACTGAACTAGAACTGAACTAGAACTGAACTAGAACTGAACTAGAACTGAACTAGAACTGAACTAGAACTGAACTAGACTGAACTAGACTAGAACTAGAACTGAACTAGAACTGAACTAGAACTGAACTAGAACTGAACTAGAACTGAACTAGAACTGAACTAGAACTGAACTAGAACTGAACTAGAACTGAACTAGAACTGAACTAGAACTGAACTAGAACTGAATTAGAACTGAACTAGAACTGAACTAGAACTGAACTAGAACTAATGAACTTGAAATAACTTTCGTAAAATCATTCCTATGACTTTGATTTTTGCATTCTTAACTAGGTCAAGGTCAAAACATAAAGAACATATTAAAGATAAGTTTAAACTGAAATCAATTTGTATTTCCCTGCCTTAATCTTTATTCTAGGAATCAAATTTCCTTTTGCTGTTTCGAAAATTCCCAAAATGTCTATTTAACTTTCTGTTAAAGTGGCTGCTTTGTGTAGGAGAGTTTAATTGTTGAATTGAGTTTTAGTTGTTGGTGTTATGTTTGAGGTTGGGGGGTCAATAAAAACCAGTGAAAGTGTTGATGAAGGTGGTGGTTCGCTTCTTAAAGGTTTTATTTGCTAGCATGTTGGTCAGCCAAAATTTTTTACAATTACAAATAAATAATTTGCTACTGAAATACTTTAACGCTCTCTCTTTTGTTTCTATAAATCACATTTTATTTGACCAAAAAAAAAAAAAAAACAAATGAAATAAAAAGTGGAAAATAAATGGAAACCTTAATTTCGGTTTCACTTGCTGCTTTTTTGGGTCAAATATTCAAATTTTTATTGATTTCGCACGAACTACATTTAAATAACCACAACAACAAAAAACAGCTGTGAAGGCTACTCTCGAAATTGTTGTTGGGGGGTTTGAAAATAGGAATATTTTTTCACACAACTAAATAAGAATTTGGTGATGAAATATTTTTTAAAGAATTTTATTTAACTTACCTTAAACGCTTTAAAGGAGGAAACCACATAGGAGGCACCATCTTCCAGTTCATCGAGATGATATTTGCGGTCACCATCCATGGAGAAAACATAACGAGCACCACGTGGCAGATCTATTTTGGGTGATATTTTATCAAGTAAATTCTCCAGTGAGGTTATATCACGACCCGGACGAAAACGCAATTCTACCCCCGGAAAGAAGGGATCGCCATTGCGATAGAATACCACACGTCTGGCCTTCCAATACGAGAGATTCGAATAACGACTGGCCGCACTCATAACACTATTTATATGGGCATTTGATGATAATTCTGGTCTAGATTTTGAACGTTGTAGAGGTTGGACCGGTGGTTGTTCAGAATTCTCACTCATATTGTCCGGATATTGTAGCTGCAGCTGATTGGGAGTGGCTGCACCACTAGCACCGGTTCGACTCTGGCGACCCGACTGATTAGCAAGACCACCGTTGCGCTGAGACCAATAATCATTTGCAGCAGCACCTACGCCTCCATTGCGCTGCAGCTCATAGTCATCTTCGTTATCGGAATAATTTGTATTATTCAGGCTTTTCAGGGGACTTGAGCGATTACTATTAAGACCGTTATAATTTCCCGTTTGATTGTTATTAATTTTATTTTGTTGTTGTTGTAATAAATGTGGTTGTTGTGGTGTTGCGTTTGAATTTAGCTCATCATACGGTTGCGTTGGCGACGTATTTGGCGAAACGTCTCGGTCGAGTTGTATAGCCGTACTAAGTTGTGGCGTTACTCTGCCGCCATCCATAAGTGATGAGGGCTCGTTAGCTAAGTTGCTGTTTGTTGTATTGGTGGCAGCACCCTGTGCCTCGTTCTCCTCTATGGTGGACATGTTTTATTACCAACGCTGCTAATTTTTGCTTTCACTACCACTTCTTCTACTTCTTCTTGTTCTTTTTCTTATAAAACAACAACTTGTTTTTTATTGTTGTTGCTAGATTTCTTTGTTTGTTTATATTTTATTTTCTTCTTGTTGTTGACGTATGTCGACGTGAAGAAAAATAAAACTTAAAACTCAACTTAAAAGCTTTCGTTCTTTTGATTTTGACGTTAAACTTTTTTAAGTTGCTAAAGTTTAGTTTCTATTTTTTTCTAGTATTTACTTGCAATATTTAGAGTATAGTTGTTACCTTATTTTGTGTAGAGTTTTTAGAGTTGTGTGCTAAGTCTACAAAGTTTCGTTTAAAGTTTTCGTGCAGACTTTCTTGATTTTTGCTGTTAAAATTTTTCCAAAATAAACTGCCAAGGATTAAAACACAAAATAAAAGTTAAACGTTATAATTATTTGCTTTTATTCAGTTTTTGTTTTTTATTTCTTTTTTTGTTAATTTAAGGGAGAATATGTGATATTTGTTCTTTTTAAGGAATTTTAATGAATGTTTAGTTCTTTCCTTTTTTGGACGTATTTTGTACTTTCATGAAAAACTAAGACATTTTTTTGCGGATTGTTTATATTTCAGTTAATATGTGAGCAATAGATTGGTTCATTAGTGTGAGGAAAAACTATTGAGTATATGGGAAAACATAAAATGTAGAATGAGTAACATATAAGCAATTTTCGTGAAATTGATATTAATCATACGCAAAGTATGGCCAAAGTAAAAATTTCTAACGATAAGTTAATCTGACCCGATAAACATATGTGTGTTATTACTTTAAGAACTGAAAGGAACAGAACTAAAACAGAACTCGAACAGAACTAGAACAGAACTAGAACAGAACTAGAACAAAACTAGAACAAAACTAGAACAAAACTAGAACGGAACTAGAACAGAACTAGAACAGAACTAGAACAGAACTAGAACAGAAATAGAACAGAACTAGAACAGAACTAGAACAGAACTAGAACAGAACTAGAACAGAACTAGAACAGAACTAGAACAGAACTAGAACAGAACTAGAACAGAACTAGAACAGAACTAGAACAGAACAGAACAGAACAAGAACAGAACTAGAACAGAACTGGAACAGAACTAGAACAGAACTAGAACAGAACTAGAAAGAACTAGAACAGAACTAGAACAGAACTAGAACAGAACTAGAACAGAACTAAACTAGAACAGAACTAGAACAGAACTAGAACAGAACTAGAACAGAACTAGAACAGAACTAGAACAGAACTAGAAATGAACTAGAACAAGAACAGAACTAGAACAGAACTAGAACAGAACTAGAACAGAACTAGAACAGAACTAGAACAGAACTAGAACAGAACTAGAACAGAACTAGAACAGAACTAGAACAGAACTAGAACAGAACTAGAACAGAACTAGAACAGAACTAGAACAGAACTAGAACAGAACTAGAACAGAACTAGAACAGAACAGAACTAGAACAGAACAGAACTAGAACAGAACAGAACTAGAACAGAACTAGAACAGAACTAGAACAGAACTAGAACAGAACTAGAAAAGAACTAGAACAGAACTAGAACAGAACTAGAACAGAACTAGAACAGAACTAGAACAGAACTAGAACAGAACTAGAACAGAACTAGAACAGAACTAGAACAGAACTAGAACAGAACTAGAACAGAACTAGAACAGAACTAGAACAGAACTAGACACAGGAACAGAAATAGAAAAGAACTAGAACAGAACTAGAAAAGAACTAGAACAGAACTAGAACAGAACTAGAACAGAACTAGAACAGAACTAGAACAGAACTAGAACAGAACTAGAACAGAACTAGAACAGAACTAGAACAGAACTAGAACAGAACTAGAACAGAACTAGAACAGAACTAGAACAGAACTAGAACAGAACTGAACAGAACTAGAACAGAACTAGAACAGAACTAGAACAGAACTAGAACAGAACAGAACTAGAACAGAACTAGAACAGAACTAGAACAGAACTAGAACAGAACTAGAACAGAACTAGAACAGAACTAGAACAGAACTAGAACAGAACTAGAACAGAACTAGAACAGAACTAGAACAGAACTAGAACAGAACTAGAACAGAACTAGAACAGAACTAGAACAGAACTAGAACAGAACTAGAACAGAACTAGAACAGAACTAGAACAGAACTAGAACAGAACTAGAACAGAACTAGAACAGAACTAGAACAGAACTAGAACAGAACTAGAACAGAACTAGAACAGAACTAGAACAGAACTAGAACAGAACTAGAACAGAACTAGAACAAAACTAGAACAGAACTAGAACAGAACTAGAACAGAACTAGAACAGAACTAGAACAGAACTAGAACAGAACTAGAACAGAACTAGAACAGAACTAGAACAGAACTAGAACAGAACTAGAACAGAACTAGAACAGAACTAGAACAGAACTAGAACAGAACTAGAAACAGTTCTAGAACTAAACATAACTAAAACAGAACTAGAACAGAAATAGAATCTAATATTTTACTGAAAATAAAATTTTTTACTGAAAATGTAATTATTTTACTAAAAGGTCGAATTTTTGACCAGGAAATAATTTTTTTACCAAAAATCCTTCTTTCAGTATAGAATTATTTTTTACTAAACTTTCTTGAAATTTGTTTTTTATCAATTGTTTTGAAGTATTTACTTTTACACAGAAAATTGAACTTAAAATATTTTCCAAAAATTACCTTGATTATGTGCGTTATCCTAAAGTGCTGAGTTGGTCCTTTGAAATCTTAAATTTAAATCTTAATATTTAAAAATCCTTGACTTTAGACAATTTTAAGATATTATTTTAATCTTTATTTTTATTAATAATCTTTTATAAACTTTTACTTTTTAGTTAGCTTTATAAAATTGATTTTTAGTTGCTTTGTAATTTTTTTTTGTTTCTTTTATAAAATTCTAGTAAAAATTTTTTCTTGTTAATCTTGATCCCGGTCTTAGTTTTGTGCCAACAGTCAAAGACACTTTTGTGCGTTTGATAATTAAAACACAGTTTGCGTTTTCAGTTAAAAAGGATGTCGTAGAAATTGGTTTGGATGGCTGCTTGCCTAAAGGGGAAATGTGTTGAATACTTTCTTTTTTTCTCACACATACACTATCACACGCATTCACTTAAATCCTTTTTTTCTATGTGTATAAACTTATACGAACTCATACACATGTTAAAAGTAAAAGAAAACGTTTAAAAGAAAATGTTGGTTTTGTTTTAGTTGCTTTTGTTTGTGCGGGTTTTATTTCTTTTATATTTTTAGAATTTATATTTTTAAGGTTAATGACACTAAACAGGTTAAAGTTAAAGATTTTTTTGTTGAGATAAAAATGCTTTAAGTAAAAAAGTTTAGAAAAATAAACTTTCTTTAAAATTGAATTAAATTAGAGTTTAATATTTTTTTATTACAAAATTTCTCTTACAGTTTTAATGTTATGTTTTGGGTTTGGTGTTATTTTTTATAATTGTTGTTATTAATTTAAAATTTAAATTTCATGCGTTTTGTTGTTGTTTTTTATTTTTTTTTTGTTTTTTCACAAAATTGCCCGTTGTTGCACGTTGTTTGGTCTTTAATGTTTGCCGGTTGAAATCTTTGTGATTTCGTTATTATACCTTCAAGTACTCAGTTCGTTGTTGTGTCCGTTTCGTTTGTTTTATTTTACTTTTTTCTTAGTAAAAATTTCAATGGTTTTTCTTGTTGATTATTTTTCCTCTTCTAAAAAACGCTATTACTTGCTACATATTGCGGCATATTTTTCGTAGGTTTAGTTGTTTGTATTGAAAATGTTTGTATTGTATTGCGTTGCTTAGTTTGTTGTTAGTATTAGTGACCCATAATTGCGCCGCTCAACAAAACAAAAAAAAATAATTTTTAACGTTTCTTTACTTTAATGTTAAATAATGTTGTTTGTTGCACGTTAAAATTTAACTATTTTACTAAACAACCTCCCTGCTGGAGGCATGCACTACTTCCCCTCTTTCTTTTATAGCTTACAGCTACCTATCCCCTTGGCTTCCATTTCTTTACCTCTTACCCAAATTGCAACTGCTTACAATTTTGTTTCGTTTAAATTGCCCACCATAGTGGCACACAGCGTATAGCTTTTTGTTCCTCTCTTCAGCGGAAGTCACAATTTTTTGTTGTTGTTTTTGTTATCGTGTTTATTGTTGTCGGCGTCGTTGTTCGTTGGTGTATATGTATGCAAACACGTTTATGTTTGTGTATAGTGTATAAGCGGTAGTGTGGTAATAGTTGAAGTCGAGTATTGTTTGTTGCTTCTTGACGTGAGTTGTTATATACAATTTTTTTTGTTGAAAACCACAGCACTATGGGTCAAAAAAATTAAGAAACTAGAACTGAACTAGATCTGAATAAGAATAGCTAGAACTGAACTAGAACTGAACTAGAACTGAACTAGAACTGAACTAGAACTGAACTCGAACTGAACTAGAACTGAACTAGAACTGAACTAGAACTGAACTAGAACTGAACTAGAACTGAACTAGAACTGAACCAGAACTGAACTAGAACTGAACTAGAACTGAACTAGAACTGAACTAGAACTGAACTAGAACTGAACTAGAACTGAACTAGAACTGAACTAGAACTGAACTAGAACTGAACTAGAACTGAACTAGAACTGAACTAGAACTGAACTAGAACTGAACTAGAACTGAACTAGAACTGAACTAGAACTGAACTAGAACTGAACTAGAACTGAACTAGAACTGAACTAGAACTGAACTAGAACTGACTAGAACTGAACTAGAACTGAACTAGAACTGAACTAGAACTGAACTGAACGACTAGAACTGAACTAGAAACTGAACTAGAACTGAACTAGAACTGAACTAGAACTGAACTAGAACTGAACTAGAACTGAACTAGAACTGAACTAGAACTGAACTAGAACTGAACTAGAACTGACTAGAACTAACTAGAA